CAACGGTTGTCTGGTATAATCGTTGATATATGTAACACCTTTTAAAGGATAATAAGAGACACGTTAAGCTGAAAACAAACACAAAGTGTTAATCAATCATGTTTGAGTAAAACTAAATAAATGTAGTAAAATATATACTATAGTAGCCAAGGATAAGGATTTTATCATTCTTAAATGTGTTATTGTATGGTCATACGGCACTTTAAAAACGAAAACATAAAATTAAAATGAAAAGTTGCATTAAAAATGAATACGATTGAAGTTACCATCTATTTTATTCTCATTTTGAAAATTTCGTTGCACCTCCGAAATTTATGGCATTTCCTGGACATTTGCATGGCCGTAGGAACCGGGGTGCACGTGCCCCCAATAATTTCGCCGATATACAGATTACTATAGTAAACATAGATAATATGTGCTTGTGCCCCCTCAGTAATTTTTGTTTTGTTTTGTTTTGTTTTGTTTTTGTTTTTGTTTTTTTGCTTGTTAAGGAATTTTGGTAGTTGATGATTTTTTTTTTTTTTTTTTTTTTTTTTTTTTTTTTTTTTTTGCTTAATTGTCAGGAAATTTTTGGTAGAGCCCCCTCAACTGTCAACTGAAAAATGTAGGGCTGTGCCACCCCCCCCCCCCCCTCAACTGAAATTGCTTCCTACGGGCCTGATTTGAAATGAAATTGTAGTTCATACATGTAATACACGTAAAATAGTGACGTTCGACGGCAATCCTGCGCACCACAGATTGTCAGGAAAGAAGGCACTACAGACTTTTAAACAAGAGTGATGCAAAGCATCAAATCGGCCGCAAAAAAAAAAAAAAAAAAAAAAAAAAAAAAAAAAAAAAAAAATAAGAGTCCAACGAAAACACAAGATTTCCAAAGTATTTTAATTTCAAAACGGAACCTGAAGTTTAAAAAAAAGAAGATAAACGGAAATGGCACGTATACCACTTTATTCAATGTAAATTACTTAATCGAAATAAAGTTCACTAATTATGATAAACATGTTATATCATCAAAGAAAAACGTTTTTTATATACCCACAATAGATATGAAAAGAGATTTCAGATGACAAAAACAATCGAATTAACTATTGCTAACTAATCGTTTTCTTATCATATCATCATCATATCTTGCACACTCCCATGTTGGGGAGTACCTATTATAAACCCTTTTCATAAAATCATAAAATAATGATTATCTGGTGAGAAGTGAAAATTAAATTGAAACATAACAACATCTAAGACTTTCATATAGTTTAAAACCAGTTTTAACATTTTACTCATAATTTTCATATATTTAAAATTACGTTTCGTTTCTCCATGTGCAATATCTAACACAACTACAAATAGATAGGCGATTATAATGAGTATAGAAGACGATAAAATAATCATAATATCGTATACATATTGTAGATAAGATTTTTTTTAACCTGGCTTCGGGGCCACCAACGTATAAAAATCTCAGCTCAAATCTCAACCTCAAATCTTAGATTTCTGCATCACCTTTTGTTTGGTGGCACAGTTTGGTGAGAACAACTCAGATTTTCTGAGAAATCTCAGATTTGAGAAAATCTCAGCGTTGGTGGCCCCGAAGCCTTGCCTGGAGGTTATAAAACTTTTTGAGTACGTACTCTGTGCTCAAACTCATACTCCGTTCTCTAAAACCTTATTCATACTCAAAATTTATATACAAATTAGAGAGGAATTTTAAGCATGAGTATGGTTTTGGAGTATGGAGTTTGAATTTGAGCACTGAGTACATACTCAGAAAGTTTTATAACCTCCAGGCCTGGACGTTTTCGGATCGTTTCTCTTTGTAATTAAACAAAAATATAGCTACTGGCAGTACTAAATGGCTATCACTACAGACCGTCGAAAAAAAATATAGACCACATGTCGAGCAACATATTACCACCCCCCCCCTAAAAAAAATACAATGTTCAGATGCCCGATCTATGAATTTATATTCTATATAGACATCCAGGATACATGGCCGTAGAAACCGGGCGGTGGCCATGCCCCCCCCCCCCCCCAATAATTTTGCCGATATATAGAATACTATATAAAACAAAGCTACTATATGCTTGTGCCCCGTCAATAAAAACGTCTGATCCCCCCTTTTTTCGCTTGTGAAGGAATTTTGGTAGTTGATAGTGCCTAAAACTGAAAATGTATGGCTGTAATATAATGTAAATTCTTCACAATTCCTTAATGCATTTATTGTTATGTTCCCCAAACGAAGTTTGGAAACATGTTGTTTTTTCTTTTTTTTTCAAAATTCTTCGGTACTTTTTTTTCCGCGAGTGTTCTCTGAAAGTACATGTACTCATCTGACTGAGATGGATCCTTTTTAGGGTTAACAGGCATATTATATTGTGTAGATGTGCGGAACAAAGGTCATTTCGCGCGCACTTGCATGCAAGTGCGTGCGCGTGCGATGAGTGAAATGACTGAGAGAATTGAAATAGCTTGAACCTTCCTACTTTTTATGATATCCTTTAAACCTTAAACTTATTATATAAACATATATTAGTGGTGTTGACAAGAAAAGGTGGTTAAGTAGCAATAAAGCACGCGCATGCACGTATGCTTCGCTCTGATTAGCTAACATAAAAATTCTCAATAACCTTCTTGTTTTATGATGAAATACTTTGAAATTTAAAACATGATCAAACATAAGGAGATTCTACATTATGAGATACGCATGCACGTGTGCTGTAATTTGATTGGATTAAACTTTAAATGACTGTGTCTTTTTTAGTTTTCAACGAAACAGGATGGGATTTAGAATATAGATAGGTACATATATATATACACATATGTATATACATATGTATAATGGGTTCCTACATTGTGCTACTATCAAATTTGAATGCAAGATCACGAATGCACTAGTGCTGGATTCTGAATGGCTAATACTTATATGGCTTTAATTCTCATAGTTTTCAATGAAAATGTTTGAGATTTCCTACGTAGGTATTTGATTGGCCAATATTCAAAGGACATCGATTAAATACTTCTGAAAATAAAGTGTACATTTATTACACAAAAGAATTGCCTAATTTATTGAAGCTTGTAAGGGATGGGACCATAAGGGAGTGGGGGGGGGGGGAGTGGAACATCTGTAACGATTCCCCTTACAATTAGCACTAGTTCAATCTTATATTTAAAATACAGGTATAAAAAATAAACATACGGACAAGCAATTCCTACTTAACAAAATAATTCATGTATATCCCTGGAAAAAAGGGTACTTAATTTAAAAAAAAAAACAACAAAAAACACCAAATGATGGTTGAATGTTATCCAAAATTGATAATTTTATATCACATATCTTAGATGTCAGTGATTTCAAATCGGCCATTAAAAAATATTGTCATGCTTTTGATGTGTTGGGCAACATCTTGTTATCTTTTACTCCTTACTGGCACATGTTTAAACCAGAAGTCTCTGATGAGACTGTAGCTCTACGGGTCTGTACGTATAACAAAGGAAAAGAAGCACTTGGATTTGAAACTTTGCAACATGCAGAAATAAATAGAATTATGTATCTTAACGTAGTTTACTTGTGTGCCAAGTTATATTGAAATCAAACAAAAACTGTAGGAGGAGTAACATTTTGAATGTATTTCACAGAAATTTCTACTTTAAGTAACCATGGCAACACTGTTCACTGAAATCAAAAACCGATATTAATACACTATTATGTAACGTAGTGTAGTCTAATCGTGTACCAATTAGATTGATGTCAGACGAAAACAGTAGGAGGAGTAATATTTTAAAGGAATTTTACAGAAATTTCTATTTTTAGTAACCATGGCAACACCCTTCATCGAAATAAAAAAAATGATGCACTAAATTATGTATCTTAGTGTAGTCTACTTGTGTGCCAAGTAATATTGAAATCAGACCAGAACTGTAGGAGGAGTAGCGATTTAAAGGATTTTTACAGAAATTTCTATTTTCAGTAACTATAGCAACACCGTTCATCGAAATCAAAAACTGATGCACTAAATTATGTATCTTAGTGCAGTCTATTTGTGTGCCGAGTTATATTGAAATCAGACCAAATTTGTAGAAGGAGTAGCAATTTAAAGGAATTTTGCAGATATTTCCATTTTTAGTAACCATGCCAACACTGTTCATTGAAATCAAAAATGGATGCACTAAATTATGTATCTCACTGTACTCTACGTGTGTGCCATGTTATATTGAAATCAAACTAAAACTGTAGGAGGAGTAGCATTTTAAAGGAATTTTACAGAAATTTCTATTTTTAGTAATCATGGCAACACTGTTCATCGAAATCAAAAACCAATGCACTAAATTATGTATCTTAGTGTTGTGTGCCAAATTATATTGAAATCAAACTAAAACTGTAGAGGAGTAGTGTTTTAAAGGAATTTTACAGAAATTTCTATTTTTAGTGATCATGGTTACATTGTTCATCGAAATCAAAAAAAAAAAAAAAAAAAAAAAAAAAAAAAAAAAAATGCACTAAAATATGTATCTTAATGTAGTCTACTTGTGTGCCAAGTTATATTGAAATCAGACCAAAACTGTAGGAAGAGTATCGTTTTAAAAGAATTTTACAGGAATTTCTATTTTTAGTAACCATGGCAACACTGTTCATCGAAATCAAAAACCGATGCACTAAATTATGTATCTACATGTAAGTGTAGTCTACTTGTGTGCCAAGTTATATTTAAATCAGACGAAAACTGTAGGTGGAGTAGCGTTTTATAGGAATTTCACAGAAATTTCTATTTTTAGTAACCATGGCAACACCGTTCAACAAAATCAGAAACTGATGCATTTAATTATGTACCTTAGTGTAGTCTACTTGTGTGCCAAGTTATATTGAAATCAGACCAAAACTGTAGGAGGACAGACAGACAGACGGACGGACGCCGGACACCTTACTATCGCATAAGCTCTTCTGGTCTCTGACCAGTAGAGCTAAAAACTGATAAAAAAAAAACGACTTTTTTTTGTTTGTTTAATTTGTTTTTATTTTTGAAAGGCAAAGTAACGACAAACGGTAAAGTTTTTGACATATATTTTTATACATTAAAAATATCATAAGAAATAATCTTTTTTTTTTCCTTTTTAAAATATCTAGATGTCCGAGTAACTAATTAGCATTTTTACTCTCCGATACTAGCATTGCCCGACGGTTAACTGGTTTACCCTGTACTTGTTGACAACATATCTAATTAGAATTTTTGTCTACAATCCCTATTTTAATTCCTTTGCCAATCGCAGTCATAATTATCAGTGAAAAAAGTAATTTAACAAAACATTTAAAATTTATACCAAACTGATAACATAGGTATTGAAGCCATTCAGGAGGTTTTGCCGAAGGAATCCAAAATGAATGAGACAAATACAGAAAGAAATCTGTTGCAGAAGATGGAGTAGTTTGACAACATTTCTTTACATCAAATTGACTAGCATTGATTTCGTTTTTTTTTTTTTTTCTTTTTTTTTTGTATGCATTTAATTAAATAAATCTATAAAACTCAACTTTCAGCATGAAAAAAAAAAAAAACTCATCTGGACATAATGTTCTTCACAGAAAAATAAATCACAATATTTTTTAATATCATATTTATAAACGAATGAGAGAGTAAAATACATGTACAGTGTATGATGGCTTTCGGTTGTTTTTTTTTAGCTGTACAGTAAAGATGTAAAGAAAATATCTTTCAAAAATCATATCTGTTGGCATCTTCATTCTTCCATAAGCTCTTTTTCTGAAGTCTTTGCCTTTAACATGAAAAACTTGAAATGAAATAAAAAAAAAAATAAACAATCAAAATATTTTTTCTCTCTTGATGTGTTACATGATAATTATCTTTTACAATCATTGACTTGAAATAACATTTCAGTTGATCACAGTACTGTACTTGGTATTGAATTAGATTTCCATCCTCGTTTTAAACACTTGTTTTAAATTCAACTCACTACCCATAGCAACATGCATAAGTTTAACATAACACGACATAACAAAATTTCGTTATAAACCTTGTACGATTACAAGCAAAAAAGATTTAAAAACTGTTCCGTATCCATACACCTAGTATAACTCAATAAGAAAAACTGATTAACAAAGCAAGGGAAGGAGAATGATCAGGGATCAACACAATAATTTGTCTCGTATTTAACAACAAATCTCTCAGTATATTTATCCACTTGTTTGTTTTTGTCCCTACCCTTACGAAAATTTACTATAGTTAACTATAGTTTACTTAAGTTAACCATAGTAAAAAACTGATACTTCGATTTAATATGAAACTTTACTCTGGAACTTTTTTTTGAGATTTCAAAGCTTAAAATCTCAGAAATTCGATAACAGTAATGTAAACAAATAGTATGTATTTATACAAATAACAGTTCGATTTAATATAAAAAATGTGCATGTTTAAATTGAAGAACAAAAAATATAACAATCTGAAATCCAAAGTAAAAATACTTTAATTTAGTATAGTAAAATTTACTTTGTTACTATAGTAAACAATAGTTAACTATAGTAAACGTAAGTTAACTATTAGTAAAGTTTAGTTAAATATAGTATTTTGCTAGGGTATTTGTAACACCATGCAACCTAACAAAAACAGGAGTGCTTGAGCACTACTATTTAACACTTTCATTTCCTCTAAAATTGACTTCTTTTGATTTTTGAAGAAAATTATGTAAATACAAGTAGACGCATATTAAGGTTTTTGTGTGAAAGTTTTTTTTTTTTTTTAATTTATCGAATAAAGTCTACGTGACCATTAAAACAACCAAATTACTGTTCGTATTATTATATTAAGGGGAAGAAGGACCTTTAGCTGAAAAAAATACTTGTCATTCTTTTTTTTTTATATTTTGTATATTTCTAATTAAGTATGTCCCACATATCTTAAAGCAGTTTTATCATTAGGTTTCTTACCTTATTTTAGAAATATTGATTGACAAATACTATGCCCTACAGTATCAAATTGGAGTTTTAATTCTCCACGTTTCCGGGCTCTTTACTCTGTCCATAATGGGATTTTTAAAGCATATATAAAAAATATGTAAGTGAACATGTATCTTTTAAAATATTTTAGAGTTTGAATAGCGATTAAAATTCGAAAAAGCAAGTTTCTTCTATCATACTGCATCTGGATAGGGAAAATTACGAACTTTTTAAGACAACTTAAACAACAAAAAATGCAATTTACAAAAAATTCTATCATTCAATATTTTTAAATTTACGTTGAAATGCAAGTCCTTTTAATTATTGATTAACTGTAAAAATTTCGAATGGGGAAGCTGACTTCAATATTGCACAGGGCATCGTTAAAGAGGACATAAGCAGAACAAAAACGTGTCATGTTTACATTTCTCGAGTACGGGAAAAACCATCTATGACGTCACACGTAACCTAAATAAGCGAAATAAGATATACCTACATAAGATTTCCGTCATCAGCCATGCAAAAATAATTTTTGTGTTCCCCGTTTCTCAAAATATTTCATCATATACTGATTATGACCTGTTTTTTACATAATAATACCGCCCCTGTATTCACCGAGTAGGATCTTGCTGTACTAATATATCGTGTATGACGTCACCGACGAATTGGACACACAGTTTAGGGAAACAGAGGAGTGGATCAATCTTTTTCATAATTTGTTAATGTTTGCAAGAATGTTATACTTTTCATTTTTTTTTTTAATATTAGATGGTAATTAAAGAAAAAAAAATGTCAAAAAATTATACAAGAACTGATGCTTTACACGTTTTGCAATTATATAAACGGAGACTATGACGTAGTTAAACAGAGTCATGTGACCATGTGTCCTTCATCCCCTTAAAAACATAAACATTTTCAATATCTTTCTTAGTCCGTTGACTTTGCAAGGCATTATTTATGGCGATTTAGTATTAATGGTGACAAGATAATGATAATAACTTCTCCTAGAAGAATGCAAATTTATAAAGTTCTGCATGCCCTTTACCAGAATATTTGACTAAATGGTCCAGAATTTCACGAAAACACACTTCCTTATACAACTTTGCACTCTGTTTGCCCAGATGCAAGGTTCATGAAATCAACATTTGGATCCGGAAATAATTCACTTGCTCATTCTTACGATGTACGTAATTAGTTTGTTTCCTTAATAGCAAAAGCAGAGAAGAATTCTTTTTAAAGAAAATACAACATTTTGGAAAAAGGTACCCTTGCTTCATTTGTCTGATAAATATACAAGAACAGAGAAGACCCTCACATTAATAATTCTTCTTCACTTTATGTTATATGGGCCCCTCCCCTGCTCCAGTATAAGAACCGCTGATCCTAGGGCAGACTAAATTCATAGTTTTCGAGGAGTTACCCTTGTTCATTAAATCCATGACTTGAGTTTATCTCTCAAAACCCAGTAGCAGGGAAGATTTCAAATAACTAATATATTTCACTATGTAACCAATAGAACCCCGTCCTACACAAGAATTCTCTTTCCAAGGCGCCATGGAATTCACAATTTTGAGAAGCATGCATACTCATCAAAAAAAAAATATTGCATTTCACTTTAAAGTAAGAAGAGACTCACTCTAACAACAGAATTCCTGAACCCGGTGCCATGAAATTCACAATTTCAGAAGAGGTCCCATTGCACCTCGTAACTATGATTTGATTTTTTTTACTTTTGGGGAACAGGAACAGAAAAAAAAAGATTTTTCAAAGAAATAACGCATTTCACTTTATCATTCATGGAGCCCCCCTCCCCCTTTCAAGCCAATGTCTCAGGGGCCATAGAATTCACAATTTCAAATGTCCAGGAGTAGAGAACAACATTTTTAATTATACGTTTGCGTCAATCTTTATAGTTTTAGACCCAACCTTCAGACTCTTAGAAGGGCATTATCATGAATTTCAGAAACTTTAATCCTCTTTACTCATAGATGTTCTATGAATAAGAGGTTTAATTTTTTTCGGTGGTTCAAAAAAAAAATGAGACGAAGGACAAAAACAAATCGCAATAACTCATTTAAAAGATTGAAAGACTTATAAATTATTCTTATTGTGAAGTGTGGTTGATAGATAAAAAGTTTTAGAAGACTGAACAGGACAAGATATTATACAAAATGTACATGTACATACATTATATATGTTATGATAAACTATAAAATAATAAGTTATTAAGAACTACTCAACAAAGATAGCCCCGTTTGTACTCTAAACGAAGGTGTTTGAAAATTTTGTGTAAGCTTGTTTTCTTAAATTTGAGAAAAAGAACTATGTGCCATCAAGTTATAGATTGTTATACCTAAAGTCTGTACATTTATGACTGCAACATTCAAAGTGACTTGAACCATGCTATTTTTTTTTCAAAAATGCTCTTGAATGAAGATAGTACCAGAATTACCTTTAACATGCTTGAAAAATGCACACTTGAGGAATATTTTACACAAACCAAAATAGGTAATCAAGTGCAACGGAGTGGATAGAAGCAAATCCATAAATAAGATAAATGTAAAACTGAATGACCTGTTCCAAAATCTTTACACACAGCTGAATTACTCTACAAATATAGAACCCAAGCAGTAGTAACAATAGAATGTAAGTGTAATTCTAGAAGGCCTAATAAAGATGTGGGATAATTATATCAAGATACAGCAAAAATGGTAAATATAAGATTTTTTTTTTTTCATAAAGGGGTTTCTATTTTTGGAATGAAATATAAAGATATCGAACAATATTCATGCTCAAAGTCCATTTAATCAACAACAAAAATCAAACAAACAAACAAACAAAAAAAAAAAAAAAAAAAAAAAAAAAAAAAAAAAAAAAACACGAGAGCAGAGCAACGTAGTTACAGTTTTTTTTAAATTAATTATTCTTGGAAGTAATTGTACAAAGTTATACCGGTATAATGCACTGCAGTTTAATATATGATATTTCCAGGTGTCCTTGCAGTAAAAACCCCTGATACAATATGTGTGATTTAAATATTAACATCTTAAAATAACCTCAATATGGACATTATGTTATATGCATAAATATCTTAGATATAAAGGTGACATTGCGAGATTGAATTCTAAAGACTTGTTCTAGCTCCTATTGTCTGTTTTATGCCATTTCAAAAAATCTCTTGTTTGAGCGCAGCCATTTGGTATTGGTTAATGAAACCATTAAGCGACCTTTTAGCCATTAACATGTTCAGGTGTATTTCAAGAATATGTACTGCGATGTGGTACATGTACATGTACCTTGATTCATTATTTTCAATGAAGGAAACCTAACAAAATCTCATGTCTTAGTACACGTCTTCAGGAAAATGATACTTTAACCGTATTGTTCAATAATAAAACGTGCAGAGTAAAGATTTAAGTTTTCAGCCTTTTAATGACAATTTGGCATTCCAACATAAATGAGATATTCTTGACGGTACTGTTTGTTTGCTTGTTGTTGTTTAAAGTCCCTCGAGAGAATTTTTCACTCATATGGAGACACCACCACTTGCCAGTGGAGGGATGCAAACTTATACATATACCCGGCACTCAGAATCATTGAGCAGTGAGGGATCGTTTTCGTTCCAACACCTAATGCGACACGGGACCTCGATTTATACAGACTCATCCGAAGGACCGGTCTCCAGATCCCGCGGTGGATTCGAACCCACGACCTTAGGATCAGCTCCTTACTCTGTGACTCTATAGCAGACGCTCTAAACACTGCGCAACAGTACGTAAAAGAAAGCTCTGAACAGAAAGAAACCTTAATCTCTTTTTAAATAGCAATCTTTCTGTATCATAAAAATAATTTACCTGCAGAATCTAGACTTGGTATTCCTAATAGTGCTTTTTGAACTGGTTCAGCTAGAATTAAAAAAAAACAATCTCATGAGCAATTTTAAATATACAAATACTTAAATAAGTATTGTATAAAATGAAGGGTCGGGAATATAATGCACAAAATTCGTGTGAGAAAGGTAAAACATAATGACAAACCATAGGATTTTTTTATAATACGTTTTGCATAGCTATCCATTGTCCATTGTTTCAAACAGTTTTATATGAATCCATGTTAATAACTACATCACTTTCAAAAAAAATAATCATTGTGGCGTCACAACTGTTAATACGAAACTACGTTAAGCGAGTGATCTCTATTGTATTAAGGAATAAAGACGTTATAGAATCTCATAAATTGAAAATATATTACTACAACTGTATTCATACATAGCAAATATTTTCTAATCAATTACTTTGGTTCAAAACATGTACAAATAAATTTCTACCTATAACATTAAAAATAGTATAAGACACACGAGAAACGTGTAAAATATATGTTACTGTTTCTTGTATATTAAATGATTGGTCTGGTGTTACGTGCATTACATTCTTATTCACAAAAAATGTGGTGATTTATGTACTGTTCCAAGGATAACTCAAACAATTTGTGATTTTTAGGATAATTGTTGGCATCTAGATGTATAACATATTTCTTTTCGACATTATCGTAAGTTTTATCCTAGGAGAAATGATTTCTTATTAAGTAGCAGATTCATGCTTTTTAATCTCAAATATTGTTAACAAGGTAAATTAAAGAAGAAACTCGCTATACTAATAAAAACAGCACCATTCATCTGCACACATTCATTGAGAATGGGTGTTTTAAAAAAAATGCCTGTACATTGTATTTATTTTAAGGTAAGAAGGACAAAGGTCAAAGTCTGAATTTCAGGTTTTGCATAACATTGTTTTTTTTTAAGATTTAACTTAAAGTGATTAATCTCTGTAATGAAAAAAATCTTGCTGATTTATTAAAAATGCAACGTAATTTTGAACTTCATTTATTGTTTCAGGTATGACACACTGTATATGAGTTCAAACAATTCAAGATCATTTGTGCGACTTATGCTTACACTCCATTGATCGTGTCTAACGGTTACATTTGGAAAGTCGGAAGAACGGGAGAGTCGGTTTTAATATTTGGGAAATTGAATTTCTTCGCTTCAAACTCGGCCAAAAGTAAGGCCAATGCTTTTTGATCCATTTGTTTCTCATATTCGCACAATAACTTTATCGCACGGAACAATACCATATCTAATAAGAAACATATACACTGGAAATTTACCAGACTTAACTTTGAAATATGCTCAGACACTTAGGATTTTTTGCAGTATTTAAACATTTTGCTGACCCAATGAAAAATCTAAAGATACTGTGAGGACTGATCTCACAAAAATGATACCCCCCCCCCCCCATATGATTATAATGGCAAGGTCTATGTTTTGCTATGGTAGACCCAAAACAAGTGTGAGGTCAAAAAGTAAAATAGGAGATACACAATGGCACTATGTAATAAAGACTGTTTGAAAGTATCATTAAATTTTATTCAGTGGTGTAGGAGGAGTTGTTGAGAAGAGGTGGGTATCCCTCAATAGTATAGATGAATTGCAGTGTCTATGTTTTTGCTATTGGAAATCCATAATACGTGTCCGATCAAAAAGTAAAATAGAAGGTGCGCAATGGGACTCTGTAACGAAGATTCTGTGAAAGTCTCATTAAATTTCATTCAGTGGCATAAGAGGAGTTGTGGATAAGGGATCGTTATCCCAAAGCGTAACAGACGGACATCTATACAACTGAGAGATACACTGTGTAAAAGAAACGAGTATGGGGTTACTTTCAGTAGTTAAATCCATAGTGGGGTGCCTATGTCCAAATAATTTTCTTTACATTCTTTCACACTTGTTTTATGTCAAATAATGAGCTAGCGCGCCTACGTGACAAGTCTGTGTGATTTACACACCAATAACTCACACAAAGCTTAAAAAACATTCTTTAATCAAGCTTTACCTTATAATGTTATAAAATTTAACTTACGCATTGGGGATACTTTTGAAATGATTTTAAATTGAATTCCATGAAAATGCCATTTTTTTCTACATAATTCTAATACAGGCATAATGTACCGGAAAATAAAATTCAGATTAATCATGAAATCATAATGGTTCTAGCACCAAATTTACAATTTAAACTAGATCTTGACCATAATGATATTTACGTAGTATAACTAGATATCAAGTATACCAAATGTGTTATAGATTTTTGATTTTCATTATTTGACATCGCGAAAGTAGAATAAACCTTATTAGGAATGGTCAGAGACGATTTCAAGTTTTGGCGGAAAGGGGAGGGGTCGATTTCAGTTGAGACTAATTAAGGGAGGTCAAAAATAATTTGATTTTGCAACCTAATATATTATAATACTAGTGAGCAAGCGTTTTGCTGTCCCTACATTTCCCGTTGATTTTTCGTAAATTACCTCATATTTTTCATTTATCCTACTTATTCATTTGTCTCTTTAAAACCTTCCCTCTATTTATACTTTTCAGTCACAAAAGTAAAAAATCAAAGATACTTTTTTGGTTTTGAAAAGAGGAAAGAGAAAATAAAAATAAAATAAACTATACGGAGAGTGTTATCAATAAGATAAATGGAGTGAAAGATAATTTAGTTTTTCTAAAGATTATTCCTCTCTAGAGAGTATTTAGGACGGGTTGAAACTTGCTCTATGTTTTAGAGGACTGTAAAGTTTGCCCTGCTCCTGTTTTGTACAGTAAAAATTGTCTTATCTGGACACTACTGGTTCCAAAGAAATTGGCCGGATTAGGGAACATTCTGGATTTGACAACATTTAAAACAATGGAATTTACTGCAATGGGACTTAAAATTTACACCGGATTTTCGATTACACAACAACCAGATTAGACAAAATTCACTATATTGCTTAAATGGACATGTGAGCTTGAATAATGTTCGTTACTTCAAGATTTCATGGGAAAAAAAACAGAACTTTGAATGTTGAAATTTACCCTAGTTTACCGTAAATCCCCTTTTGTGGACATTCAAATTTAGCTATCAGAAATGCTGAAAATTTATCAGCTTCCGAAGACTTCGCCTGAACCTAATAAATCCTAAAGGTGGCTCACAAAACCCACTATCTTTGTTATTTGTTTCCATTTTAAGCAATTTCACAATTCCCATCCTTTGTATTAATTAGTACACGTAAAATCTCAACGTGGTTAACGTTGTACAGTCTGAGACTACAATTGCATTTAAATGGAGCAGTGATAAAATGATCAGATCACCAAAGCATGGGAAACATTCTCTCCGACTTTTTCTGGTAAACAGCTTTAACAGATGGAATGGCAGAGTGACGGACAGGAGAAAAGACAAAGGGACATGTGACTAAAACATCTTACTTGAACCCTTATATCAGATGACTCATAAATTAATTAAAATATTTAGCGTGCTAAAAATGAATACGTTTAAGTTAAATTCTTGCGCAAAAATAAAAAAAAAAGATATACTTTCTTTGTCAAATATTTAACATTTAAGAACAAAATATTCCATTACATTGAAAACATTGATTTAACATTTATCACATATATTTGCAATGTGCATCTTTCTGTGACTTACATAGATCATTTGTTGTTTGTGGAATGCTGATATTTTCCGATAGCTTTGTTGAAAATGAACACGCTACTAAAATGAAGGAGATGACTGGGACGAGTATTCCAAATGCGATAATAAACCTGCAAATTGTAAAGAAAGGCAAATAAATTTTACTTATGTATCAAGCTTTAAAAGTTCATCAATCGCAAACACAATACATATCCTCGAGCTAGTATTGATATGAAATGGAGAATTCAAATCGTTTTTAATTAAAAAAAGTGGCTTTAATGTACACCCGTCGGCAATGTGTGTCGATAAATGACATTATTTGCAGTGATGGTAAATGTATCGTCAGAAGGTGGGAGAATCATAAACACAATAGATATTGAGATAATACTAGAGCTACGGTCCACCCTACCTGCTTCACCCCACACATCCCCACCCCGCCCTTATATTGACCAAAGAACGTATAAAATATTATCAGCAGCTTATTTTAATTACAAAAAAGAAAGAAAGAAAATATCAAAGTGGCCAGAGTTCAACTATTTAAATAGCAAGAAATATTAATCAGCAATAATTACCTTTAGCTACAGTACTGCAGATCAATGGATCTGATATACTATAATATACATGTATATACTATATTATATAATATACATATGATAAAGAAATATCTGAACAAATGCATATCCTCACTAACAACTTTTTTTTTCATTACAGTATATATAATTCATCTTCAAAAAAAAAAAAAAAAAAAAAAAAAAAAAAAAAAAAAAACAACCAAAATGATATTTAATTAAGAAAATATAAGAATATTAAGGAAACCAGCATGTTAAAATAGAAAAAAAAAACTAGATGTCCAAAATTGTTGAAATAGCACAGAAATAAAAGACCATATTCCTGCGTCTGTTTTCTATATACACAGCACACTTACTGAAAAATGAGAAGATAATAATGGTCGATCAAAAATGCCTAAAACAATACAAATTTGTGGAGAGGGCATAAAACACATACCTCTGTAATTTCCAGAGGTGGGATCAGATGGCTAGTAGGAATAAACATCTCCTTAATCTGCATGAAATGATCACTCAAAAGCAATGCAGTAAAAAGTCTAATGATCCTAAGTTTCATAAAAATAGGTCACTATAACGAAACTCGATCTTAACCTGTAAGTCATCAATATCAATATCAAATCAACTCAATATCTACAAGCTCAACAAAAAGAAACTCGGAAAACAGTGATAATAAGAATTTTTCAAAGTCTAATGGCCATTAAATTGAAAAAATCGGTCGATCACAAAAAACTCGAACTACACTGTATGTCAACAATACTTTCAAGAGACCTATAAAGAAATGAACTCATTGCATACAAACACAGCTCAAGAAAGCCAGAAAGAACTAGCTATAACGGAATGACAGTGACATTCTGAAAACGATGATTATTAATATAATTCCTAATTCGGTCATTCATAGTTTAAGGACCATAACAAATAATATTAAATAGATCAATTACCCCGAAACTCAAACTTGATATATAATTCAACAAAAGACGTACCAAATATCAACTCATTGCCCACAAGCACGTCTATATATGAAAAATTCTCGAATGGGACATGAAACAACGTACAATCAATCATTACCTACAAACAGAGCCCCAAAAATCCGGAAACCCCACTATTCCGGAATGACAGTGACAATGTCAAAAGGTAAGAGATTAAACTACAATTTAATATACATGTATTTACATTTGCTATGTTTTTCTACTAAGCCAACTTTGAAATTGATTTGAATGCCATTTTCGTGCATACTCACGCGTAGAAATATGCACGGAGAAACTCGCGCTAAAGTGACGTCACAATGAGCTACAGAGACGTTAATAAAAATGTAACGATATAGGGCAGTGAATAATTAAAACATTGAGTATATTTTTGGTGCATGCTTTTGAATATGTAAAATGTAAATATAAGGAATGTTTTTAAGTTTAGTGTGAATAATTGGTGTGTAAATCACATAGACTTGCACGTAGGCATATTTTTCATGAAGCGCTAGCGCGCTTCATGAAATATGACTACGTGATGTTATGTTAAATGATAATATAGCTAAATTTTCAGGTATAAATGTCGTTTTTCAAAGTTGGTTTCCGTGGCAATGGAATGTCTTATCAATTTAAAATATGTTTTCTCAGCAGCACACTTATATGACAATAGACAATATGACAATAGAAGCTAGATTTTCAGGTCTGAGGGTTTCAATGATGGTGTCCATGGCAACGGAATGGCTTTTCAATTTAAAATAGAGATCTACTTCCTTAGTAGTACAGTCACCTTAGCATATCCCGAAGTATAAATATAGACATTCACTGACGATATTATAGATGCTACCAAATTTAAAGTTTGTTAAATGTCAATAAAAGCCAGATTTTAAGGTACGAAGAAATACGATTTGGAAGATGGTTACCATGGCAACGGAATGCTTGGTAAAACAGTCCTTGGTAAAACAGTCACTTTGACATATCCCAAAGTATAAATATAGACATTTACTGAAGACATTATAGATGGTATCAAAATTAAAGATGGGTTCAATGACAATAGATGCCAGATTTTTAGGTCTTAAGGTATGTGTTTTTTTTTTTTTTTTTTTTTTTGGACGACGGTTTCCATAGCAACGGAATGCCTGAACAAATTAAAATATATTTTTAAGCAACACACTTGCCTTATTACTCCCCATAGTAAATATAAACATTTTCTGAATGGGGGCCTAAAATGGTCCTAAAATGGTCCAAACCAAATATAGTTCTTTTCGTAAGTTATGTGTTTATCTTTGCTTATAGTTTTGCTTATAAATCTACGTACATGTAATACAGGTGAACTATATATCTATCCTCTCTATTACGCTTCAAAATGTTTTGTCAGTTTTAAGGAGCTAGGATCACTTTATCCATAAAATGGCCCTGTTCATATACCAATTTAATGACTTGGTACAAATGCCCCATTTCAAGCATCAGTATTAAGTAGAGACTTAATGATTTCATTTTCTAATAACAAGGTTTCCTGTGAGATTATACATGTATGTATTCTTAAAAAAAGTCTTTGCGAAATTGCAATATTATTAATTTCGAACTTTTGAAATATTTCTTCTCTAGACAATCTATTTTAACCCTGACTTTATCAAGATTAATGCACTGCTAGGTTTGAAGTAATCTACGTATTTTCATCAAAAAGTAACTCACGATAATAACAATTGTGGGTGTTTTGAATTAAATGAAATTGAAGGTGTTGACTTTGTTCCATTTCCAGATGAATCCTGATTTCTTTCATCCGCTGAGGGGTGTTTGAATGATGTGATTTCGTCAGAAACTGTTGTGACACGTAAAGTTGTTTGTTGGGTCACATTGAAACATCCAGGATCTAGATCAAATTTTGCAAACAAATAGATGAAGTCTTTCAATAGCAAAGAAGCTTTAAATTAGTTTCGTCCTGAGACAACGATTCTGAGGTAAATGGACCACCCCCCCCCCCCTCCCATCCTATGATCATAGGAAAAATTACTGTGGAGTTGTCTTATGTCTCCCTCACTACTTGAGTATTGAACGTTACGTTAAAATCGTGATCACGTAAAAATCTTTTCACTGTCCGCGGGTGAACAGAGTCATTAGCATCCCTGCTTTCATTAAATTTATTTGTAATGTCCTGTAAAACTCATCCTCTGTTAGTTTAAGTATATACATGTCTAATTATCCGGTGTTGATCCCTTTATGAAAGCTTCCGAAAGTGTCATTTTCTTCTCAAATTTCTGACTTCACCAGTCGACAAATATTTTTTTTTCAATAAAGATCTGATGGTTGATTAAGGTATTTGTAATAAATTCATTATTACCGATGTTTTTGCCCCTCCATTTTCATATCCAGAATTTTTTTTTTTTTTTTTTTTTGGGGGGGGGGGGGACATCATTTGATATTTCTTTCGATTTCGTAGTCCCCGTTTATTTACAATTTGCAGACAGCAGACAATAAAAAAAAATGATATAATTACGTCATTTCCGATGTGAAGGTTTCGGATGTCAACACAGCATTTAATTAGAGTTATTGCCCATTTCCCGAGCAAAGCGCACATCGAGAACGACGCCATTGCGTAAAAATCGGGAATACTTTTTTCATAGCACTGTATGTATATTGTACGCAAACCATGACGTCGTCAAATTTCATTATTCCGCTATCACCTGGATATGTTGTTTAAGTTACCAAACTAATTTAAAAAAACAAGAGTGTGCTGTGCGTGCGATCAATTTTTGAACCAAGGCAGACTGCTGACAAATAAGTTGATATTACAGATATTGTAGAGATTTCGACAGCTTCCTTTGGAGTCAGCTTGTGTTAACTTCGTGGTTGTTATAATGATCTACTTATCAGATATAGTCTATAATAAAATTTAACCAATGAAACCTAATTTTAACTCGGTAGTATTATGACTAAGGTGGTTCATATCAATTGTTAGGCCATTGTTTTCGTAGCAAATTTGAATACGAATTATTCCGTCTACTTAATCAATACATTATTTGGGCTCAGGACAGGTGCCACCGGTCGACAGGCATCGGGCTGCAGCCCTGGAATTCCCGGGGCCCTGTCCACAGATAAATATTGTTTGTAGCTTTTTGGGATCGATCACTGTTCGTTATGTTCATTTTTTTTTCTTATAAAGGAGGCTGGGGGGGGGGGGGGTCAACAAATTAACCATCAGATATAACTTATTTTTTAGATATGATATCTTAAGCTGTCAACTATCATTTGTCAAAGAAAAAATTCATACATTTTAGTTTTAAAATTTTGATCATTTTTGTATATCTTTATATGGAGCTCTTCTTCTAAAGGAGATCAATATAGTCTAAAAATGGCCACGACCACCCAGCCCTCTTAAGAATGTTTCATACATACTGGTCCATAAGTGGATTTTCATGTACATGTAGCATCTACATGTACTTTACCGTAGTTATTTATATATCGCCTTCACAATCCCCAGTAAGACATATTCTGTTATTATGTACATGTATTAAACACTATCTCTTGAACCAAAGTTTGGAAGAAAAATAAAGCAAAACAACTCACATTTATATGCTTCCGTCGAAATATACCGTGTTGGACATGGATCAGAGTAAATACTACAATCACTTAAATGATTTTCTATTATTCTGTTTTCCTCTTCATTAAACTCTGCACAAACAGCTAAAAGGAAAAGAGGATTGTAATGTTATTACACACTGCTTAGATTTATTCTTAATCTTTAAAATAAAAAAAAAAAAATTAAAAAAGTACAAATTGAGGGAGCTAAGGCAGGACATACAATAAATATTGAGTTGAAGTTAGATCAGAATGACTCGCTTACAATGGTTCTTGATAAAATTATCGGAAATTTCAAGACATTAACTATTATATTCGGAATATCTTTAATTAAAAATTGATTAAAGTCTGGAATATTCATAAATTGTTAAACAATAATTATTTTTGGGTACATTTACATAGATAATCTAAATGAAGATCTATAGAGGCCATGAAGATTTAAAAATACTTTCAAACTTTTCAAACTTCTTTGAGATCCGAAGGTATGGGACACTAATATATATATATATATATATATATATATATATATATATATATATATATATATATATATATATATATATATATATATATATATATATATATATATACTTAAAATCAAGGAAACATGCAAAAACAGAAATGAGGAGACTTACGAAATGATATTACTTCCGGTGAACTACAAACTTCTAAAAGTCTGTTCTGTTCAGAATTTGGGAGACAATGATAAACAAAGTTGCCAGTTGTTGTACAATTATGTTCAGCTGCAGAACAGTTCTTTTTCTGCGCTGCACTATCCCAGTCTTTCTTACGTGTAGGACATGAAAATACATATGCTATTGTAGCAGAAGAAGCCTTGCAAGACGTACAGCATGACAATCTCCTGAAACAGAAGAATAATCGAAATCGTCACTTATATAAAATAAAACAATTCGATAGACGCAAGAATTCGGATGAATCTTTGCTATTGTAATGGCATTATCATATGCAATAAAACTTCAAAAAGGAATTATTAAAAAATAATCGTTATAACAGATCGTTATTTACAGAACTTGCTATGCTGAGCAAAAGATGTGACAAATGCTGAGAACAGTTTCGAGTCTTGTGAAGGAGGCGCTATTTAGTAAATACGAACAAAAATAATAATAATAATAATAATAATAAAAAAAAACAAATCCATGACATTTTTTTATAACAATTGTGTTTCCAATAAAGTAAATTATATTAACGAAACAGTCAGTCAATCTCTTTACCATTATTAGAAATAATAGATTCCAAGGGAAGTAGCTGAAAAATAATAATAACAAAAAACGGTGCGGGTTTATTTGTGTCTTGTTTCTATATTTGCATTTTAAGCCAAATACCTGGATGTCATAGGAAATGAAGATACAATAATGTAAATAATACATACACTTCATGAAAAAATAGGTTTTGGAGAAATCGTATGGTGAAAAATTATGCGAGGGCATACTCTATTTTATTTTACTGAAATAAGGTATATTTAGAAACAAAATATTCCAAGGTTTGCTATTATTGCTGCACAAATATCAACAGCCCAGTTGTATAATTTCTATTTGTAAAGTTTTAGGTTGAATAAGGATAAAAATGTACAGTCCAGCATAAGTTTCCTCAAATTCCGACCAAATGAGAAATTGCCTAGGATTTGTGCAGCAGTTTTATTAATCTATAGAATATATTCCTCTAAGCATTATACAATTTTTATTTTTAAAAAAAGGTAATTCCTTACGCCAAAGCTGTTCTGTTGATGTGTTTTATTACCTCCAGTAGATAAGATCGGTGACGTCTTAATATGATGTCATAAATGTTACTGGCTATAGCATGTGTACTAAGTACATGTATGCGTAAGAAAATAAATCAAAACTTTCTCTGAATGATTAATACACCTATGTTTTTATTAGCTCGCCTATACCTAGCCTTAACTCACATGCGCAGCACAGGCACGTAGTACGCGGGATTTTTTTTTTTTTTTTTTTTTTTTTGTTTTGTTTTGTTTTGTTTTGTTTTTGGATTTTAACCTCCCACCCCCCTTCCAGTTGGAAAAATGTTGCTACAGGCCTGTAACAAGTTGTTTTTATTGCTGTATATCAAATGTTGCGATGTCATTTAGCAAATAGTAATACATGTACATTTAAATGCCTGTACTGTTAAGTACGTTTTTAGGGACAAATATACCAATCAATATAGAAACTACCGCCACTATGTTTCATAATATATTCCTGAAATTGAGAGTGACGTATTGAATACAATTCATATTTAAAAGTAGTACGATTAATTATAATGATTCTAATTTCTCCCTGAATTTTTCATAATTTTTTTTTTCAGGTATGTGCAACTTTGTGATATAGTCACTACATGCATGTATATATGTGTACATCCATTTTGTTACCTATTATACTGTATGTACTTTATGTTGTTAAGATGTTGACACTCAATAGCCTACATATATAGTATGCCTTTTTAGGATATTTATGACACTTCTTAGTTGACTTTAGTTCTACAGCTTAAATATCTCTGACACGCAGATATCCAGATCAATTAAGTATAACATAATTGTATAAATAACTTTTAGTAAAAAGAATATATATTAAAAACGTTTTGTTAACCAGATATATATTCTTGTACGTAATTTCTAATGTTGGAGTTCCTTTTATAGGAAAACTCGGAACTCCCATGTAAAAAAAAATATTAAGCTCATACTGTACACCACGGTCATGTAAGTTTTTTCTTAGTTTATTTCTTTGCATGATTCATTAAAAAAGTGTTCTTTATCTTCGTTATGGTAATCATACATAGGACAACTTCAACTGTACAAGATGCATCAGCTATTATATAATGATTTTTAAGTGTGCATTAAGGTTACTAGCTTTATTACGTAATTGACAGTGAAGAATATTCTCTTTTCTGTAACCATAGTTGAGATATTTACAACTGCTGAATGTTCGTCTAATTTTTTTTTTTTTTTGTTCTGACTTAAAAATTGATAAAGAAGGTGACATATTTACATCAGAGCTAAGATAATTCCATAGTTTTATAGTTGAAGGAATAAAACTTTTTTATTAAGATACAGTCCTACATAATGGTAGAGAGAGATTAATACTTCTTTCTGATCTCAGACTATAAGAGCGCTGTACTGGTTGGAAAGGCTGTAATAATTCACAAAGATAAAATGGGGCAATTCTATAAAATAATGTTTATGATTTATTCTTCTCTGATATAATGGCTCCCAACGTAGTTCGTCATATAGAATAGATCTTGAAGAATATACCTGAAGGTGAAGCCCTAGATGTATATGTTTACTGGATTGTTCAATAATGCCTTTTGCAACCGCTGTTGAAATAACAACCACCATTGAAATAATTACTTCAATAGTGGTTGAGAGTGCATTTCAAACCAAACACATGTTGTAACCACTATTGCAATAACGTTCACTATTGAAATAATTATTTCAATAGTGGTTGAAGGTGCATTTCAAAACCAAACACAGGTTGCAACCACTATTGAAATAACGTTCCCTATTGAAATAATTATTTTAATAGTGGTTGAAAATGCATTTAAGGAGGCTGGGGGTCAACAAATTAACCACCAGATTTGACTTAATTTTTTAGATATGATATCTTAAGCTGTCAACTATCATTTGGCAAAGAAAAATTTCAAAAATTTTAGTTTTAAAATTTGATCATTTTCTATATCTTCATATGGAACTCTTCTTCTAAATGAGATCAATATAGGCTAAAAATGGCCACAACCCCCCAGCCTCTTTAACAACTGAACACAGGTTACAATCACTATGAAATAACGTTCACTTTGGAAGCAATGGTTTCAATAGAGGTTTTGAATGCTTTTCAAAACTTAAACCAGGTTGCAACCACTATTGAAATAATGTTCACTTTTGAAATAAAGATTTCAATAGTAATTGAAATAATGATTTCAATAGTGTTTGAATTAATTATTTTAAAAGTTCCTGAAAATGATTTCAAATGATGCACCAGAACTTCATTGCAAGACTTATTGAAAAAAAAACAACATACTATTAAGAAAAATATAAGGATGATTTTTTCATTGGGTATTCCAACAGAATAAATTAATTTATTGAACTTAAATTATGATGTGTAAATTTATTTTTCATTTCTTTTCTAGAAATTACCATTAATACACGGACATCTTTGATTTAACTGACATACAAAGTATGCAAATGGTATAAGCAAGCTTCCGCTGCATCTGGCAAACTCGGCAAAAAACAACACACAATCAATCAATATGATTATGCAAGTTTTAAGTACCGTAAATTTGTAAAAAAGGTTCATCTTTGCCATTGATTTGGAAAGGAAAGGATCATAAATATAGATAATGGTAGAAATTCGAATATCTACATTAAAAGAAAAATTGTATGTTTTTTTTTTTTTTTAAAGTCACTTTCGAGAATTGTTCACTCATATAGAGACGTCACCATATACGGGTGAAGGGTTTCAAACTTTGACCTTTACCTGGCACCCAGGGCCATTGAGCAGTGAGGGATCTTTATCGTGTCAACGTCTGCCGTGACACGGGACCTCGGTTTTTAAGGTCTCATCCGAAGTACCCGCAACTTTCACTTCAAAGTGCACAGCGCCTGTCGAAGGAACAGTTGCTACCCATTTCTTATCGACTTAGGTCAGTCACGGCCGAGATTCGAACTCACGACCTCCCGATCACGGAGTACTCTACCGACTGAGCTACCGTGAACGGTCATTAAAAGGAAGAAAGGAGCTGATATGTATATGTAAAAACTTTATGATGAACATATGGTTATTCTCAATAAAAAATGATATAGAATGGAACTAAATTCTTCCTCATATACACTACAAATATGGATAGTAAATCCATCGTCTACTCGTCAAGACATTGAAAAATACAGAACTTCAAGGAAAATTAGTATAGTATAGTATTACAATAGTGGGTTTTATTTCAATCGCGGTCACACGTATGAGATCGCTATTTAATAATGACCGCTATTAAAATAATTATTTCATTAGTGATCCTCATTTCAAACTACCGCTATTGAAATAATATCTACTATTGACATAATTTTTTCAATAGTGGTCATTATTTCAATAGTGGTTGGAACAATGCACAAACTATTGAAATGAGGACCACTACTGCAATTTTTTTTAAATAGTGGATATTATTGCAATAGCGGTTTGATACGTGTAACCACTATTGAATAACACCTCTAATGACATAATGTTTATACTTTAGTGAGTAGTTTTCTCGAATGGTTGATTTTAAAGAATTGACAAGTAGAAACGTTGGATTTACTATATATCCAGATTTGTAGTGTAGGCAAGTCCATGAATATAAGCGAGAATTTACTTCTATTCTATATTTTTTTTGATTAAAAATAACCATATTTTCATCAGAAAGTGTGTACACATATATATCACATAGATAATTTCTCTTTTATATTGATATTCTAATTTCTACCACTATCTGTATTTATAATCTTTTACTTTGCCCAATTAATAGCAAAATAACTTATAATTACTCGATAAGTTAAATCACAGATATCCATGTACTAATAATATTTCTAGACAGAAATTAAAACATAAAATTACATATCATATTTTAACTCAAAACATTAATTCATAATGTTAGAAAAGATGATGAAGACTTTTCAATAGTGGGGTTATTTCAATAAGGCTTGCAATGTGGTTTTGGTATTGAACTCATTGTCAGCAACTAAAAATGATTATTTCAGTCACTATTGGCCAAGGGCAACTTTTTCACCTTTAGGTCCAACAAATCATATGTTGCACGATTCCCAGTCTATAACTGTTTTGTTATACCCTTCACTTCAGATCGAACAATTAATAATCAATTACTTTC